AGGCATAATATTACTTAGCTTTTGAGACGAAGTCAGCAAGGCATTGCTACCTGGTGGAGGTCCACCTGACTTACTTGTACAGTTTAAATTTTTTTTAAAAAAAATACAAAGTTTGGAACTGATCTTAAGACTACCTTTGATGTGATATAGACATAAAATGTCAAAAAAGATACAGATTTACATACAGAAATAAAAATATGCGAACAGCATGAAACAACCCCAAAAGTGCTTTGTCAGGAGACAACTGGACCTTTCTGGTTTTTTTTTTTTGAAGACGTTTTGCTTCTCATCCAAGAAGCTTCTTCAGCTCTGACTAGAGGAAGAAGCTACTTGGATGAGAAGCGAAACCGATAATTCTTTGTTTACTTGCCAGAGAGTAAGCACCAGTCCATCCATCAGAACATCCCAGATTTACATGGTTCACTCTCTTTGCGTGGGAAGCCTTCCTCTGCAGTCATGATTAAAAAGGCATTTAAGTCATTTTTTTCTCTTGAAGGGAGAAGACATTTATAAATATATATAGTAGCATTTGGGGGAATTCTATATTAGAATACAGATAGTCAGTGGTGGGATTCAAATATGTGAACAACTGGTTCTCTGTGTGGATGCTGCTTCCGGAAGTCCATTCTGGGCCTGGGCAGCAAAAAATTAGCTACAGGTTCTGCCGAAGTGGTGCGAACCAGCTGAATCCCACCACTGCAGATAGTCCTCGATTTATTACCACAATTGAGCCCAAAATTTCTGTTGCACATAGAACATAGAATAACAGAGTTGAAAGAGATCTTGGAGGTCTTCTAGTCCAACCGCCTGCTTAAGCAGGAGACCCTATACCATTTCAGACAAATGGCTGACCAGTCTCTTTTTGAAAGCCTCCAATGAAGGCAAGCTATTGCTCTCCGAGACATTTTCAATGCCTTGTAACTTTGAATGGTCATTAAATCAACTGTTGTAAGTCAAGGACTACCTTTATAAGGTAAAATCTTATTGAAGTCATGCTTGTTCCTGTTGACATGGAGATGCAGTTTTCCTGACTATAATATGGAAGTTCACTTTGCGAATCCCTTTTTTCCAAGATGATTGCTTACTTCCCAGTCTAGCGTACAGCCATGGAATTCCTTGGTGGTCCTCCGTCCCAGCAATAGTCAGGCTCAAGCCTTCTTAGCTTTTGAACCCAGACATGATCACCCAGGTGCTGCCACCTGCTGAGACATTTTAGTGTACCAAACACGTGGTTACATTTGTATGCTGGTCTCTCACTTTCTCTTTCTCACACTTATACTTACAACAAAGTATCATAGGATTTGGCAATGTGGGAACTGCATTATACCTAGCTAGCATCACATTTTGTACTAAACTAAACCGTGATTTAGTTTTGGCTTACATAGGCGCTTGACGTTGGGTGTGAAGTATCCTATGATGACTTGTTCAACAAATCATGGTAAAAATAAACTATGCAATGTGGAAATCTAATCACTGAAATAAATAACCGATTCATTTAGATCAGGAGCATCCAACTGATGGACTTCATGCAGCCCTGGATAGCTAGTAATGTGGCCCCACAATAGCATAAACGTTTAACATTATTGTAATGCTTATCATTTTAGTGATATACATTTTATATGCAACCCAAGATAATTCCTCATCATTCCATGCAGCCCAGGCAAGCCAAAAGATGGGACGCCTGTGAATTAGACCATCATTTATTCTGGTAAGGAGAGAAAATAAATCAAATCTATCGGTAGATCTGATTTGCAGAAGATCAAAAAGATATACCCAACTGCATAGTAATTATAACAGTTAAAATTGCTCCTACCCCCACTGAAAAACCTTCCTATTATTCAAGAGTGTATTTTTTGTGTGGAAAAAGAATGAGATTTTATATTTGAAATAAATTTCCAGGATCATATTTTAATTCAGCAATAATGTTTTGTAGCAAGCTAGATTTGGCGAATGTGGTAATCTAGTTATAGATCCACCAGAAATAATTTTATATAGACTCCATCAGATTTCTCCAGAATTTCAGAGATGTTTGCTTCTGGAGATTCTGGTCACTGAAGTTAAGATCTTCTGTGTACATGTAAGGTGTCTGCACAAGTGGACTTATCTTAGACTGCATATCATGTGATTAACTGCAGAGGAATGGCACAAAGGGATAATAAAGGCTTGGACATTTAAACCCTGTTCAAAAAGATGCATTAAGTTTTACTGGTTAGAAAAATCTTTCTCACTGCATCATTACGAGCATTTTTTAAAATGAAAATATGTAACTTTTTTTTTAAAAAACTTGCGAGTTAGCTAATGGGAGGCCATAAAGCAGCGTTTCTCAACGTTTGTGTGACGGCGACCCCCGTCACACAAACGTGCCACGCATGCGCAGCGGCGCCCCCTGAGGGGGGAAAATGGCGGATCGCATTGTTTGGCGACCCCCGTAAAATGGTCGATCGACCCCAAATGGGGTCGCGACCCATAGGTTGAGAACCGTTGCCATAAAGGTATGTAAGGAACTATTCCTGTTTTGTTGATTCCACACTGCAAGGTCAAACCCCAGGAGCATGACCTGCTTGTGGGATATGCTCCAGGGCAGTTGGCTAGTTTTTGTGGCAAAGAGAATGCAGAACCAGACAGGTGTTTTGGTCTAAACCACCAAGGCATTTTTTAGGGGACCTACTTTGAGGCCCCATTCCAGTATTTCCTAATTGCTATGGCTGTTTCCTTTCCCATCCCAAAAAACATCCTCAGCGTCCAAGGTTGTAGCTCTACCTGGCTTATATTGTCCATGGAAAGATAGAAGCAGATTTTGGAGATCCAGATACAAAGGAGGCTGAAATAAAGACCTTCGGGGATGTAAGGATTCTGGCTTATAAAATAAAAGTTCAGGCCTATCTACTGCAATTCTGTGTCTCTTCTTTCTATTGTTGTTGTTGTTAGTTGCAAAGTCGTGTCTGACCCATCGCGACCCATTGACAACGTTCTCCAGGCCTTCCTGTCCTCTACCATCTTCTGGAGTCCATTTAAGCTCACACCTACTGCTTCAGTGACGCCATCCAGCCACCTCATTCTGTCGTCCCCTTCTTCTATTGCCCAGAATCTTTCTCAGCATTAGGCTCATCTCCAGTGAGTCCTTCCTTCTCATTAGTTGGCCAAAGTATTTGAGTTTCAGCTTCAGGATCTGGCCTTCTAAAGAGCAGTTTTGATCTCCTCTAGGATTGACGGTTTGATCGCCTTGCAGTCCTGGGGACTCGCAGGAGTCTTCTCCAGCACCATAGTTCAAAGGCCTCAATTCTTTGTCGCTCAGCCTTTCTTATGGTCCAACTTTCACAGCCATACATTGCAACTGGGAAAACCATGGCCTTGACTATACATACTTTTGTTGACAGGGTGATGTCTCTACTTTTTAGTATGCTGTCTAGATTTGCCATAGCTTTCCTCCCCAGGAGCGTCTTTTAATTTCTCTCTATATGTCCTGCCTTAGTCATAGCCATGATCTAATTCCCATTTTTACAGCTATTACTATGGTTTGTAAGTTGGCATTTTAGTTTGCTTCAGATATACGGTAACAGGAAACTGCAGTTTAGCCTCGCTAGATTTGGTATCCTTGGCCACACGTTGGAGATTGCCATTTTATTTTCAATGGCGTCTTTATCAGTTCTTTCCAGATCCTTTTCCTGAAAGTTCCTCTCCATCAGCTGAAGCCAGGAAAGGACCTGATCTGGAATAACAACTGCTACAATCAAGACAGGGAAAGGATCCACAATCTCTGCAATATGTTCCTTTGCATTCTTATGTAACATGGCCAGCATAGCAGCCATTTTTAAAAGCATTTCCTCTACACTTCAAGATTAATTTGACTCTGTTCAATGTGTTACAGTAAGCACACCTTGGAGTGTTATTTACTAGAGGACACAAAGCTTAATATGAATTTTAAGTTTGCATTTCAGTTCTGACCAAATGTTAACTCTGCTTGCTTTGGAGTTAAATGTCAACAGAGATTAAAAGAAAAGATTGATGAACTAGCTGATCGTACCAACAGCACTCAAGCAGGCATTTGTTTTTCAACCAAACAGAACGTTTGCGATTGTTAAAACTCTTTATTTTTCCAAATCTGAACTGGTGGATTTTTAGTGGAGTATTAGAAGAGAGATACAGAAATGCGACCTGAAATATCGAATTTTGCCATTTTAACAAGTTTTAAAACCAACCTGAGAGATTTGTAAAACTGAAGTGTAAAAAATGCATGCAGGAACTGGGCTGCATAAAATTTGCATATACTGTCGTAAGGTTTTCGTCTAATAAAAGAAGTTTATCAACTTGTTTGGACTTCTGCCTACTTCCCTGCCTATAGTAGTCCCCTCTTCCGGAAAACGAGGGCAGATGCATCAGTGAGAAGGGGCGAGCATTCTACAGATGGCACGTCTTTCTTTCATCGTTAATTTACAACTCGGAGCCATTGTTTCCTGTTGGTGTTAGTATTTACTCTCCACTTTTTAAATAAACGCCAGATCTCGGGGAATTTGCGCCGATCTGCAGTTGAAGGGCCACCGGGCGGGCCTGTCAACGTAGTTTCGCTGCTCTGCTTTTATTTTCCTTCCCTCCAAATACAGTACAGTAACGTATTGGGGTTACAGTACCCGAGGAACATTAAGTATCGACTTTCTCTCTCGCTGAAGAAACTGTACATTCCTTGCCGTAATTTAAATTTCTATTTTCTTCCACTCGGAGGGCGTTGCAGTCTTCCAAACATAAACTTCCAAACCTTCAGTTCCGTTCCTGCCTCCCCCGTTTTCCCCCTCCCCCCGCCAGCAGTGCCTGTTGGGAGAAGCCAGCCGTCCCACAAGACGGCCGGCCCCCAAAAGGGGCGTGGCCACCTCTGCCCTTCTCTTTTCTCCGGCGCCTGGAATGTTTGTTAGGTAAACACCGCATAGTAGAGTTTTTAGCCACGCCTCCTTCGCTCTCCCCCCCCCTCTCTCTGGGCCAATGGAAATGCTGGAGCGGTTTCAAGGCTACTCCCTGTGTAGAGAGCCCCTGGACTGGTGGTAACAAAATAACAAAAGCCTCGAACGTTGCAAGAGTAACGGGGCTCCCCCCCTCCTCCTCGGCTTCGCTCCCCCGCCAGGTTTGGCCCTTATGCACGCCGGAGAGCCCGTTTGGTCCGATTTGTGGAAAACCGCCGGGCGGAAGCGAGGCGCCCAGAAAGGATCCGGAGCTTGGTTGTTTATCTGGAAGGGAGAGCACTGGAAACCGCCCGTGTCCCATGTCCTCGCTCGCGCGCCTGTGTGTGTGTGGGGGAGAGGGAGAGATCGAGACAGTGTGGGGTTGCCCCCCACCTTTGCTTCAGCCCTGGATTCTCCATGTTGGACCCGATCTGAGGAGCATCTACACCGCTGCCTTTGCAAAGCGCTTACTCCACGGCTTTGCAATTGAAGGAGGAGCGGGCGAACTCCTTCCTTCTCCATCGCGCTCGTTCCTTCTCTTGCTTCCCCCCCCTTCCTCCTCCTCCTCGGATATTTTCCCTCCTCCCGACTAAAGGATCCCCAGGGTCTGTGGGATTGTTAGATGGAAAGCCGGTCTATCATCACCCAAGTGCAGAGGGACGAAGCCTTGGTCTTTTCAAAACAAGGTAAGGGGGGAAGTCGAAGTTGGAAACTTGTTTTCTTCCTAGCTTGCCACCCGCCCTGGGTGGGGAGGGGGGAGAGAAGAAACCCCCACTTTAAGCAGCCTGATTAAAAGAGTGCGCGCTCGCGCGGGCGGTGGGGATGGGGTGTCGTTCACTACTACTTGATCCGTGCAAAAAAGAAAAAAAAAGGAGCTCTGAAGTCCTAGTGTGGGTAGAAGGAGATGCGTGTTTCTTAAAAGCACTTTCCTCCCAGTGGTGTGTGTGTTTGTGTGTGTGTGTGTGTGTGTGGAGGGGGTAGTACGCGCGTCTGTTGAGAGAGAAGCTTCCAACCCTTTGCGTCCAGATGTTGCCGTGTAGAGGGCAGTATTCGCGACTGTCAATCCGTTTCGATTTGGGGAGGGGGGAGGGCAGGCGGTAGCGACAGGTCTTTGCGAGATCTCCCCCTCCCTTCCCGAAATGTCGAAATCGACAGGGCCCTGCGCGAGGGGGCCTGGGGGGGGGAGTGAACTTGGTTTCTCTCGATGCCTCCCCTGGGAAACGGCCTTGTTTTTCTCGGTCGCCCGTTCCCGCGTCTTCCTCCCCCCCCCCGTCCCCGCCTGGTCCGAGGAAGGTGGAAGGGAGATATTTGGACGCTTCTGCATATAAGACATCGCGCTCTCCAATCAGGAAGGAAGAAACTCCTCTTAAACGTTTGTTTTTCAGTCGTCTCCCCTACTCTCGCCTGTCGCTCTTCCGCGCGTGCGTAACTAACAGGCACTTGAAACCCTTCCAAATGTTGCTCTTGAATCGTTCCGGATCTGGAGCGGGTGGGTTTTGTTTTTTGTTTTTTTGTACCCACTCTTCAAGTCCCAAATCTTAAAAGTCACATTGGAATTTATTTATTCATTTTTGCTCATCCCTATCGTCTAAAATGAAGATAAAGCCATTACACTGACATACACAAACACACACACACACACACACACACACACACACACACACACACACACACACACACACACACACACAACCCTATATCGCCATAAATCTTAAAAAGACCGAAAGTGTCGATGGCGGCATATCCATATTCTTCCGCGCGACGACTTTCCGTGCTTAGAATATTCCAAGGGAATGTAGGCATAGTACTACGGGGGCTTTTGAGGTTGACACTCCGGATCACATTTACTACAGCGAGGAAACGGGGCTACCGACAGGTTTCCTCCGGATAGTTTGATTCCACCATTTAAATCGATTTGGCGGACGGAGAAATGCTCGGTTCCTAAGTCTTTGAGACCTGTATTTTCAGTATCTTTTTTTTTTAATAGTAATAATCGCTTTCCTCTATGGAGGTCCGCACAGGATTGGGTGGAATCATTGCATTTTAATGTTGCCACCTATTTATGTTGCTTTTCTCCTACCCCTTCCCCTTTCATTTGTGCTGGTGTTTATTCAGCTGATTTTGGCTAACCAGATTTTTCTGCTTCACTATTGGCCAAACGACTCCCCCTCCCCTTGCGTTCTTGACAGAAAGGGTCTTGGGGAGAGAAAAGCAAGGGGGAGATGGGGGGGGGGAAGCCTGGACAACTTGTCCTTTGCTGGGTGTCACTTAATTGCTCTCCAGTTGCAAATCTTCTAGATTCAGTGAAGCTACCTCCACTCTCCCCAGGTAAATGAGTGTAGGAGTCTATTCCCACCCCCCAGTAATCTTGCAGATTTACATGCAGCTAAATATGCAAACGTTGTCCCAGATGCATTTGGGCAGCTCTTCCCAAACTATTGCCTTCCAGATGGTTTGCCAATTGTGGGAGTTGCAGTCCTGCGCCCTATCAGGATGTCAGGTTAGGGCAGGCTGTTTCCCAGGATTGGGTATACCTGGTCTCTGTTGGCGTGGAGAAGGAATGAAAAATGGAATTCTATTTCTGCATTGTATTAATTCAGGGCCATGTGTCCCACCCAGTACAGCTATTATGAGTCCAGATAATTTTATTCCCAGCTGCTTCTGAATCATCTTACACTTTTGCACTTATGGTGATTTGTGAATAATAATCTAATCATCAATAACATCCCATTATTTTGTCACGGGTCCTGATAAAAGTTTGCCAGATCAAAAATTGGACACACTGCAGTGCCGCAGAGCTTGATGTGTTTTGTCGCGGAATCTGAATTTCAGACGTTCCAAAAGAAGGGACATCCGTCAAATTCTCTGAAATGGGTCTATGCAAGAATGAAGATTGGGGGGGAAGAGGTTGGAAAGTTCTTATAGTACCTATTTGCCAAGAACCCAAATCTGGATTATATGAGTAGATGCAGTAGGTGTCAAGAAAAGTGAAAGGGACTGATTTGGAGAAAGTGGTAATCTTATGCATAATGACTTGGGAGGAAGACCCACAAAGCAATAGGTCCTTAGAGTAAGATTAAAAGGCTGAAGAGAGGGAGAAATAGCTGGTGTTAAAAGATTTGCTTTGGAGTAAACAGTCATGCATAAAATTGAATTGATGCATTTAATGAAATGCTTGATCATATTCCCCCCCCACCACCTGCTTCTTTTCAGTGCCTTGAACAGTTTCACTGCCAGCTCTCCATTTGCCCTCCCCCCTCCTTTTTTTTTTTAGTTGTCTCTTTTCAGGGAAATGGAGATTTTGATGGCAGCCAGCCAGAGAAGCTTGGATATTGAAGCCTCTGGTGAACAAACAAGATGCAAATTAAGCTAAGGCCTTAGCAGGGCCTGCCAAAGTACATTTAAGCCCATTAGCCAGTTTCCGAATATTGCAGCTCTCCCCTGTAATTTAACAGGCAGTGTTCTCTGCAATCTTTGTTGATCAAGGAATGTGAATAAAGGCTGTAGGAGGACTTGTTGCTAAAGGCCTTGGGGCAAAGCCTGGGGCCCGGGTGCATTTTGTTAGCAATCTGTATAGGTGGCACCAAATAGAGAATGAAGGTTGGTTTTTACTTGGTTGATTGGCAGACAGGTGAGGATTACTATACTCTTGGGAGAGGATCCTGGATTCTGAACCAAGTCTTATTTTCTGATGGAGTTTTTTTTTTTTACTAAAGAGAGTAAAGTTTGGTTTAGTACAGTGGTTCTCAACCTGTGGGTCGGGACCCCATTTGGGGTCAAACAACCATTTCATGGGGGTCGCCAAACAATGCTGTCCACCATTTTCCCCCCCTTTTCTTTGGCCATGCCCCTGGCACCCGGTGATGTATAAGTGGTTGGGGGTCACCACAACATGTGGAACTGTATTATGGGGTTGCGGCATTAGAAAGGTTGAGAACCACTGGTTTAGTACTTAAGCATAGGCTAGTCCAGGGGGAGGGAACCTTGGCTCTTTTATGACTCGTGGACTTCAACTCCCAGAATTCCTGAGCCAGGATAGCTGGCTCAGGAATTCTGGGAGTTGAAGTCCACGAGTCATAAAAGAGCCAAGGTTGCCTACCCCTGGGCTAGGGGGATCGTGAGTTCTAGTTCTGCCTTAGGCACAAAGCCAGCTGGGTGATCTTGGGCAAGTAATTTTCTCTTGACCCTAGGAAGAGGCAATGGCAAACCACTCTTGGTTTACCAAGAAAACTGCACGAATCTGGTAGTCTTCAAGAATCAAACACAATTGAACAGAAGCGAAAAGTTACCGAAATGCAATGTAAGGTGGTAAATGTTTTGTTTTTTTTAATCAGAAGAGAGCCAGTTTGGTCTAGTGCAGGGGTAGGCAACCTTGGCTCTTTTATGACTCGTGGACTTCAACTCCCAGAATTCCTGAGCCAGCCATGCTGAGGGGAAGGGGAGAGTTTCCAAGCTGAGCCATGCTGGCTCAGGAATTCTGGGAGTTGAAGTCCACGAGTCATAAAAGAGCCAAGGTTGCCTATCTCTGGTCTAGTGGTTAAGGCACTAGGCTGGAAAACGGGAGTCCATGATTTCTACAGTAGTCTCCTCTGAAAGCCAATTGAGTGACCTTGGGACAGTCACACATACTCAGTGCTTTTATTGGGAGGAAAATAGGATGAGGAAGGTGTGTGTTTGCTGCCTTGAATGATTTGTAAAAAAAAAGAAAGAAAGTGGGATACAAATAAAATAAATAAAATATGCTATTGTCCGAAGGAAGAGGATCTGGTAGCTGTGTACTTAGTTTAAATAGAGAAAATGGTAGAAGAATAAGAGTAGAGTAATACTGAGATTTCTTCTCAACTATTTCAAAATTAATCAGCAAGAAAGAAAAGAACAAATTGGTAGGTGATTGTTTTATAATCGCTGCCCCTCATGCTTTCCGTTAAAGGTCACCTTGAAATGGAGGAGTGTAAACTCAAAACAAGTTAATGTTGATATTCAGAGATGGGTGTTGCAAATAGCCCTGAACTTTAGAGAAAGAAGAGATAGAAATGAAACTCAGAATTTTGTAAGAAGAAGCAAACGTGGATTCAGGAAGGAAGGTGGGGGATGGCAAGCTTATTTTTATTGACAAGCAAGGCATTATATATCCATAAAAGTTCATTGGTGCCAGACGGATTAATAAATGTAAATTTCAGAAATCGATAGAATCTCAAATGGGAAGAAAATTCATTCTATACATAACATGTACCTAGATCAGAATATAATAATTCAGCTCATATGAATATGGAACCTTAATATGGAATCTTAAGTCTAACATGAACTTGGCTACAATTTGCCAGGGGGATTAGGCCTTCAATCAATCCTTGTGCTCTTCTCCTTTTAGAAGTACATTTTTGGGATGTGTAATCAAGTTGGTGTCAAATAGAAGGCTGCTACTGTATATCAGAGTTAAAAACGGGAGAGACCATACCATAGGCAAGCTAGAGAGGACGGGAAAAGTGGGTTATATATGCACACAATACTTTTTTTGGGGGGGGAGGGCAAGGATTTTTTTGGGGGAGCAACAGTTTGTCAGAATTAGCATATTTTCAGGATACCCATGAGGGTAGGTAGGCAAGCAGGAGGCTTTTCATTGTCCAACATAGCAATATAGAAAAGGACAATAACAGTCTTTTTTTAAAGGATCCCAACTATTCCCAAC